CATTGCCGGTAATAAGTCGGACGGGTTCCCGGTGCGTGTTGGGCTCCGCCAGGGCTGCCCTTTGTCATCAGTCCTGTTTATCATATTTATGGACAGGATTTCTAGGCGCAGCCAAGGCTTGCTCACAAAAGCCTTCTAAATTTGTGCTATCAGTACAATTAGCAAATTTCATTTAAGTTCAGTCACTGTTAACGAGAACAGCTGCATGGGGATCTTCTCCATTCATGCACACCTCAGGTATTATATGAGCCAGGAAATGTTCAGCTAAAACAAGCCATTCAAAGAGAAATTAAAGTATTTGCATGTAACATGACAGGGCAAGCAAACTACCTCAAAAAAGCAGACTGTTTTATGGTTTGAAGTATATCTTTTCATATTACTATGAATAATAATAAAGGTAAAAATAGAAATAAAAGTAAATAGAAATAAAGGTAAACACATTACACTAGCAGATTCATGCTACATGGTTATATGAATACTAGATTAAGAATTGACTGTACTGTGCAGAAATAAAAAAAGAAAGTATATATGTGTATAATGTCTGTATTTAGTCTGACCTTCTATACAGTGCAGCAGCCCAATATAAAGACATAAGAGGAAGAGTAAAGGTCACTCTTAAAGTCATGAGAAAGAACAGTATGAAAGTAGAAGGGAAAGAGAAATTAGACAGCCATGGGGGAGTTTAATGCTTGCAGTTTAATAATGTGGAAAATGCAATGGCCAGAGCAGTATTTCCATACTTTATATGTAATTAAAGTTTAACATAATTAAGAGAAACAATGGTAATATCACAATACACAGGTAGAGCTGGGCGATATGGCCTAAAAATAAAATCTCTGATTTTTTTCACAATAAATCCGATTTTCGATTTAAATCGATTTTCCCCTCCCCTACTCAAAATCAAACTACAGATGACAAATAAATGGTTCAAAACAAGTTTTAACTTTAACTCTAAAGTAAAAAAAAAAACAATAAATAACTCACCACTGCAAGACTGAACAGAGCTCAACCGGAAACTGTGAATGCCTGGAAAAGGTTATCTAGAATCCTTTACTGGAAAAGACTGTAAATGAACGGACTACAATATATATACATATATATGTATACTGTTGGAGTCAAACTCCGCCGGGTCCGTTGATGAGAAGAGATTCACTGCACAGTCGAGGAGTAGTTGCAAGTCACCAGTTTATTCAGATTATAATCAGGGAGCGACTATCTGACATACATTCAGCATGTACAGAAAGATGCTCGAACCATAGGGGTCAGCACCGGGTCTTTATAGGCCTTTTGGGGTGTGGCCCCCCTTTTCTATCTACGTGACTACAACATATTTTGACATTTGCTCTAGTTAGCCAGTGAGTACATGTTCCCCCCCCCCCCTTTATGTTATGCCAAAGTTAAAAGAAGCATTGGTAACGTGATGGGTTCCTGCCTCCTTGGCGTCTGGGACGAGGTCATCTTGACCTGTTCTCTTGCCTATCAGTTCCTGTTTTCCCAACTTCATGGAGTGAGATCACCCCATCCTGTAGGCCTAGTCTCAGTTCCCATTTTTATTGTCTGCATTATATTAGACAGTGTTATTAGACATTAGTAAATTAATATTTGGATTATAGTGAAATTAACCCCTCATTATTGTATGATGCACCCCTCAATACATATTGTCTGCATGAGGTGGGAAAGTTTTCTGAAATGCCTGCTATTTCATTGTATTGTTGTGTATAAAAATTCTATAAAAATTGATCAATAAAAAAAAAACAAAATAAAGTGCAATCTGACAAGCCAAAAAAGATGCTTGTAAATGAGATGGCAGACCACGCCATTGTAAACACTTTTAGAAACTTGTAAAAACTTTTAGCATGTTAATGAATCCCGGCTTTTCCACAGTATGTATGGGCACCATGTCTTTTGCAATATACATCGCGACAGCGTTTGTTATCGCCTTCCACCGTGCCCCATTCTTATCATATGGCACACAGTTCGAAAACGTGTCAGGGACGGTTGCTTGCTTAACTTTGGATGTTGTGATGGTGCTGCGGTTATTTTAATTTTTCGTTGGGAGCTGCACTTCTCCCACTCCGCTGTGTGCCTATGCTTTAGGTGCTGGAATAAATTTTCCGTGCTGCTTCCTTTGGTTGCAACAGTTTTTAAACAGACTTTGCAACCAGGACTTGTTTAGTCTGTGTCCGACGGTGTAAAGCCGAACCATTGCCGTGTTGTTTGTGAATGCGCTACAGTGTTTGGGTGCGCCGCACTAATTTACCCGTGGATAACGGTGCATCGCATTAGTTCCGCTTTTGGCGCTCGCGTGTAAAATAAGTAATAAAATCGATTTTCATAAAAACACATCGTCCTGAACTGTAAATTCGAATTAATCGATAGAAATCGATTTATCACCCACCTCTATACACAGGTAAATTAATCTAAAATCTTCATTCACTTGCTTAGTAGGTTGTAGAGTGGAGAAATATCAGGATAAAAAAACAGGATTCATAGAATAAAAATTATATTTAAAAATGGGGGCCATTTAAAACCATCAAACCTCATTAATGAAAAGCCTCAAACAAGTAGCAAAGCACCCATCTGGCAGAGTCATCGATTACCGTGTAGCCCAGTGGTTTTGGAGTTTGTTTCAGTGTCTAGAAGGTCTCGGCTTTGAATCCTGTAACATGCAGAGTAAGTATGTCATTATTAACCACAACTGATCTGAAATGCTAGATGCTTTCTCAACTTGCACTTTGCCCCCAAACTTACTCTACCTGGTTATTACATGTGTGTCTGCTTCTCTCAAGAACAAAGTGCCACTCCTCCATATTCAGGATCATCCTATTGTGCATAGTACCTTGCATAGTACCTTGCATTACACCAAGGAAACTCTTAATGTGCCTAATCCCCTCCCATTCATCTGTGTCTACAGGACCAGAATGCCTCACGCTTATCCTTTCCTCACCCCTGAGCAGAAGAAGGAGCTCAGCGACATTGCTCAAAGTATTGTTGCTCCAGGCAAAGGCATTCTTGCAGCTGATGAATCTACAGGTAAACAAAGAACTACTGCTCAGTCTTGTGAATTCGGTTTCTGTGTCGGGGTGACGCAAGTCCCCTAAGATGATGTTTAAATGACTGTGTCTCTTGCTCCTTCCCTCCACCAGGCAGTGTTGCCAAGCGCTTTCAGAGCATTAATGTCGAGAACACTGAGGAGAACAGGAGGCAGTACAGGCAACTGCTTTTCACTGCAGATGACCACGTGAAGCCCTGCATTGGTGGTGTTATCTTCTTCCACGAGACCGTCTACCAGAAGGATGACAGTGGGAAGCCCTTTCCCCAGCTCATCAAGGAGAAGGGCATAGTGGTTGGCATAAAGGTTGACAAGGGTGTGGTTCCCCTGGCAGGAACTAATGGAGAGACCACCACCCAGGGTATGAACTTCAAAACCATGTTGCCACTGATTATTATTACTTACCATCTGTGTGAAAAACCTACAGGACATGGCAGAATCACATGATTTTACTGGGACCCTCCAGAGGAGATGGGCAAGCAATCCAAGAGTATTGAAAGTCACTGCTTTGTTCACTAATTTAAGCAAGCATGAAGCACAAGCGTAAGCCAAACGACTTTCTCAATATCACAAGTCAAACTTGCTTTATACTTAATACATGGAAGTACAGTGTGTCGAGGAGCTTGTCCCCCAACATCCACACCCTCCCCATGCTTCATAACCCACTTTCCTTATTATGCACAAATCATCTTTTTGCCCTTTTTCTCTGTCTCTTCCTGCTAGGATTGGACGGGTTGTATGAACGTTGTGCTCAGTATAAGAAAGATGGTGCTGATTTTGCCAAGTGGCGCTGTGTACTGAAGATCTCTCCCACCACTCCTTCTCACTTGGCCATCATGGAGAATGCCAATGTCCTGGCGCGATATGCCAGCATCTGCCAAATGGTGAGGGCTGATTGGTGCTCTCAAAATCAGCATCCGGCAACATAGAGTAAATGCATACACACACACATGCACACATTGATATACAACAATGATATACAGGCAGTCCCCAGGTTACGAATGATATCAGTTCCCTAAGTCTGTCTTTAAGTTGAATTTGTACGTATGTCAGAAAAATAACAATACAGTACAAAATAATAATCATGATTATACAGTAATAATAAAAAGTACATAATGTACTGTACGTAGCTCCATTCATTAATACGAACCACTGTGTTTATCCTGAATTTTTAATAGAGCTGTGGAGGCTTTATGGAAGCCTGTTCGTAAGTGTGAGCTGCCCATAATTCAGACGTTCTTAACCCGGGGACTGTCCGTATAAATATGCTTCCTACTGTTACAGAGCTTATAGCTTATCATGCAGTGTGTCTGAGAAATAACAGTTGCCATTGTGATCATTTTGATATACATTTAGTAATTTCTGAAAAATATTTCAGCATGGCATCGTACCTATTGTGGAGCCTGAAATTCTCCCTGATGGAAACCATGACCTGTAGCGCTGTCAGTACATCACTGAGAAAGTCCTGGCTGCTGTCTATAAGGCTCTGTCTGACCATCACGTCTACCTAGAGGGGACCTTGCTGAAACCCAACATGGTGACATCTGGCCACTCTTACTCACGCAAATATTCACCCCAGGAGATCGCCATGGCTACTGTCACTGCCTTGCGTCGCACCGTACCGCCTGCAGTTCCTGGTGAGACGCATATACTGCTCCTACCTACTGGATTGCATGCGATCCGGGTTTGGGGGAGGGGTAGGATTTCCCCTGGGTAAAATTTGCTAAGTGTATAATATAATTCAAGGCTCCCTATAAAGTGTCAGGATCCCAGAATCTGCCAGGGTATCCATGCCCTACATCACCCCTGATTCCACCTATACTCTTCCCCCACCAGCAGACACGGACCAACATGTGTTACCGGAAGATTGCTGATTTCATACAAGATTCTGGTTTTTCCATGAGTACTTCCCCTAGATCAATTAAAATATACAATGTAAATGGATAGAATTACAATGCATATATAGAAGCATTGCCTTCATAATTGTTTTTAGGTTTTATAGCTATATAGCAGTGCTCGTAATAGATACCTCCAGCATCCAAACACCTACCATCCTTGCCCTTTCCTGCTCAGGTATCACATTCCTGTCTGGAGGCCAAAGTGAAGAGGAAGCCACCATCAACCTGAATGCCATAAACCAGTGTCCCCTGCACAAGCCCTGGGCGCTGACCTTCTCCTTTGGCCGGGCCCTGCAAGCCTCAGCACTCAAGGCATGGGCTGGCAAGAAGGAGAATGGCAAGGCCTGCCAAGAAGTGTACATCAAGAGAGCCCTGGTTAGCTTGACTGCTGCACGAGTCTCTGTGTCAAGAGCACAAAATAACCCAAAAAGAGATGACTGAGTTTCATAATCAAGCTGTCTTCTTCTTTTTACAGAGCAATAACCAGGCCGCTTTGGGGAAATATGTTTCTTCTGGAGACAAGGGAGCTGCCGCCGGAGAATCCTTGTTTGTGGCCAACCATGCGTATTAAATACCATCTCACTCATGTCCACACTGTGCTACTTGCATCTTCACAAAAACGGTCAGCTATAGCCTCATGTTTTCACTTACTGGTGTTTTTTTTAATATTCCTCTTATTTTTCTACACTTGGTGCTAATGTCTCTGTGCCTCAGGGGTGTTGTAACACCTACTCCCTGTTCTGGATTTGCCAACTTCAGTTTCCTCCTTTACTCTTTCAGTTCAAGAAATGTTTACTAAATGGATATAAGTCTAGTGGTGTGGTAAATATAGCAGAAAAAATCTGCCTGTAACCCTTTCTTATAATCGAGAAAAAATGGAGTCACATTCATTAAGTACAGTCAACTAGACTTTATTGTCATACTATCCCGATACAAGTAATCAGTGGTATGAGATAACATTCCTTCAGGAGCACAGTGATACATAAAGACAGCAAGTGACAAAAGGAGAGATTCACGGTCATGTGAATATGTAATCAATGGAAACAATGTAGCAGGATAAGACTGACAATGAATAGTAAAATGTCCAGTTGCAGGCGGGGCTTGTATTTGCCCTCCATAAATGTGACTACAACACAGCGTTGCCCCTAGTATAAGCCCAGTGCAAAAACGTCCATGAGAGTACATGGTCATGGCAAGTACAAGACACAAGGCCGGGGAACATGTGAAATAAATATATCTGTACTTTTAGTCTTACTTGGTCCATAGTGATGCATAGTCTCTGATGGGAATGGGGCTTGGAAGCTTGGGGGTGCTGTCCTTCATGTCATGGCGCAGGAGGAAGATGAGGCAGGGGGTGTGAGGAAGGCCTAGAACAGTAGCTGTAACAGCAAAGCTCTCAGGGCAGCACCAAGTCCTAAATAATCCCGCTCCCCCATAACACCTGCAACATTCAATCACTGGCACCACTTAATGCTACAGCTCAATATTGCATGTTTTTATACCAATGAAATGAGATGGAGTGTCTGCAGAAAACTCACCAAAACAGGATCAAGAACATTCGGTAACGCTTTAAATGACCTGCGCCTTCATGGTGCCTTTATAATGCATTCACAGAATATTCAGTGCACTTTCATAATGCATTCATAGGACATTCATAAGTGTGTAAGTATTCCTTAACATCCTAACAGACCTTAACATATTTAATATACATTAATAACGTTAATAACGCCACACACTTAAGTGTGGGGTTTAAGTGCATTTAGGCTAGGTACGTGCTTTGGGTGAAGAAACATGAATATTTGGGCATGTAAATGACCCTTAATCACATTCTGCCACTGACTTAATTGCATTTAAGTGCATTTTTCACTATGTGCTCTGGGGGACTGTATTAAGTCACATGTCTCTACATGGCCAAACGCAATACCGCAGTTTTCAGAAAGCTAAACACGTAACAAAACAAAACATTTCATACATTTAGAAACAAATGTTTCAACCCAAAACGCATGTAATAGTATATAGAAATATACAGGGAAGCCTAAAAGTAGTCTGTATAGGTATAATAATAAATTGATGTGTGGGGCTACTTTTAAACGTGCCATCCCGGAGGCCGCTAAAGCGACAACAGGAGATGACGAGGTGGGTACTGACAGGACACTTGGAGATGACAAAGCAGGAGCTGATGGGACGGTGTTTTAGCACAATATACAAGTTTGTTGCCATTAGGCAGAATTCAAGTGACATCTGCCAGCACACTTAGTAGGTGAATCAATTAGACTAAATGACTGGTCAGTTAAAAATGATTCTTTCAATTAAAATGTAAGTAAAAAAATAATGTAATTTAATAATAATAATTATTATTAACATATAATTTCAAAAGAAAAAAATAGGCTCAAAGGAAGTAGTGTGTCCTTGCAATCCTAAGCCACAGTGTGTGTACTTGCTCTACTGCGAGAGTGGGGCAGACAAACACGTCCTCGTCTTGATGTACTCCAACTGACCGACGCTGAATGCATCACGTGTGTACAGTTTGAATGCTTTGTTTTGAAGTGATATGAGACGCCATTTGTCCCATATTTTTTAATACACATATATACAGTATATACTCCTGGGTAAAAAAAAATGGACCCAAATCAAACCCAAAATTGCAAAATGTGACAATGCATTGTTGTGGCCAAACTTCGTGTGACCTTCAGATTAGCTCAAGAATGGTGCGTAGAGAACTTCATGGAATAGGTTTCCATGGCCAAGCAGCTGCATCCAAGCCTTACATCACCAAGTGCAATGCAAAGTGTTGCATGCAGTGGTGTAAAGCACGTCGCCACTGGACTCTCTGCAGTGATGAATCACGCTTCTCTGTCTGCCAATCTGATGGACGAGTCTGGGTTTGGTGGTTGCCAGGAGAACGGTACTTGCCTGACAGCATTGTGCCAAATGTAAAGTTTTATGCTGCAGTATTCAAAGCTATTTTGGACAATTTCATGCTTCCAACTTTGTGGGAACAGTTTGAGGATGGCCCCTTCCTGTTTTAACATGACTGCACACCAGTACACAAAGCAAGGTCCATAAGGACATGGATGAATTAGAGCAGAGACTGCGAGTCAGGCCTTCTTGTCCAACATCAGTGCCTGACCTCACAAATGCTCCCCTGGAAGAATGGTCAAAAATTCCCATAGACACACTCCTAACCCTCGTGGACAGCCTTCCCAGAAAAGTTGAAGCTGTTATAGCTACAAAGGATGGACCAACTCCACGTTAAAGCCTATGTATTAAGAATGGGGTGTCATTAAAGTTCATGTGTGTGTAAAGGCAGGTGTCACATTCCCAATCCCAAATACAAAATCCCAATACTTTTGTCAATATAGTGTATTACTATAATTAATATAATATGTTTATATAATTTATTAGATAATGTAATTGATATTTCATTATATAATTATAAATTATAGCATATATTATATATCAAATACCTGTATATAGTAATAATAATATAAATACAAATATAAATTATACATATACAGTACTGTAGATTCTTTAGATTCTCTATGTTTTAGAGAAATTAGTTTTGTTAAAATATCAATTTAGTATTTTACATTGTAAATTAACCCCCCCCCCCCCCCATAACCAAAGTAAACTCATCACTACAGGCTAGTGTTGTAACCAAAGTGAAACGTTTTCCTTTTAATAAAACAACTGATATCGTATTGGTCATTTGTTTTTCAACGCATCCAAAAACTGCAGAAATCAAAGTCTTTCTGAATTTAAAATTGAAAAAAGAAAAAAACACGGATCACAACAATGTGAAGTTTTCGGATTTGGTATGAAAGCCCTCATACAAATACATTTGTTTCAGAATTATATCATTCAGTTTTTTGTGTGATAATCAGCCCAGTTAACTAAGAAATCCTGTTTCATGGAACACCCCCAGGACACTCTCTAGCTCACAAGGTGGGGTTCAGGGGCCTGTTCCACAAAGCAAGATTTAATGTTATTAGTCCTGATGATATTTGAGCTGAATCTGTTTAGCATTGAGCAAAGGAGACTAAGGGGGGACA